AGTAGAATGCAGAAGAAGAAATTTCAACACACTTCAGCAATACAAAAAGACACGCAAATGTTCGTCTAGAGTATTTTTTGCTTATTAGTATGGTTGAACTGGATCATCGAAGGTCAGAAGCAAAGACATTGGTTAATAGAATGGGATTAAATACATAAAGGATATTTGTGTTGTTTAACATTTAATTATTGCAGGTTTGTGTCATGTTCTGAGTTGCGTTACTTTTATTCATTTTGAGGAATACTGAATCTGTGTTGTGTGAGTGAGATGAATTAATGCATATTCATATTTATTTTAGAACTACAGTAACATCTTCTGATTTCTGTCACCATGGCAACACCAGAGCTGTCAATCAATAAATTGCAAAAAAAAAGTAACTTGCGTTACTTATTTGAAAAAGTAACTCAGATATTCTCTTGTAAATTAAAAAGTAATGCGTTACTTTACTAGTTACTTGAAAAAAGTAATCTGATTACGTTACCCCCAACACTGGTTGCCAGGTTGACAAAGATAAGTAACACACCTAGCAGATATTTCCGTATTGCGCAAGTGTGAAGCTCTGTGTCGGGGATTACGTGTCTTTATATCAGGCAACCCCGGTTGTGTTCCTCTGCGGCCAGATTAAACCTTGTAGCCTGTATATTATGCTCTATTCATTATTTTTTAGAAACCTCGCACTTTTCTACTCAATTTTAAACGTTGTTCTTGTATTCAAATTAAGCGTGGTCCACTGCTGCACACGTGCCACAATATCGATACAGGGCCAGCTGTAACGATACTCGTATCGTCAAATCTCGTATCGTCAAATCTCTGTGACCATACATCGTCGTATCGACGTATCGAACACAGCACTAACAGGAAGTGCTCGCAATACCAAGTTGCAGGCATGGTCTAAATCAGTACAAACCAGAAAGCGAAGGATTAAATAAAGAGAAATTTTTTTTATTTAGGAGCTACACACGCAAGCACTTGCACGTCACAGGGACACGACACCTGAGGTTTTTATTAATACTTAGAATTTTTTTTATTTGTAAAAAAGTTTTTAATGTTTGTGTTTTAATTATGTCTATAGTTTTTATTACTTAGTTTCAGTTATTTTTTTTAGTACACCACGTTAAACTACATGAAAATTAGAACTGTTGGCAACTAGCTGAAATAAAACAAGTTTATGTTTTTAAATATTTTATTTTATTTGAAGTAACAAAAAAGTTTTTTTTAATGATTTTAGTTTTACTCTAATAACCCTGTTTCCTAAACATTTTCAACTTCAAACTTCCATACTTTTCCAGATTTCTTCTGCTGATTTTTTTTAGATGATATTTAACATCTGATAAACGCAGCATTTCATTAACACTCTAACGCTAAAACACAGGATTACGTTTCCCACTGACTGCATACAGTTGAAATATTTTAAACTCATCTAAGTTTTAAAATAATACTGACACTCATCATATTTATTTAGAAAATATCATTTTTAGAATATATGCTATCCAGTATAACATTTGCTTTAATTTACTGATAAAATCATTATCAGGCGTTATTTGAAAACTAAAACTAAACTAAAATAAAAACTATTTGTGACCCTGGAGCACAAAACCAGTCAGAAGGGTCAATTTTGTGAAATTGAGATTTATACATCATCTGGAAGTTGAATAAATAATCTGTCCATTGATGTATGGTTTGTTAGGATAGGACGATATTTGGAGATACAACTATTTGAAAATCTGGAAACTGAGGGTGCAAAACAATCTAAATATTGAGAAAATCATCTTTAAGTTGTTCAAATGAAGTTCTTAGCAATGCATATTACTAATCAAAAATTAAGTTTTTATATATTTACGGTAGGAAATTTACAAAATATCTTCAAGGAACATGATCTTTACTTAATATCCTAATGATTTTTGGCATTAATAAAAAATCTATAATTTTGACCCATACAATGTATTGTTGGCTATTGCTACAAATATACCCCAGCGACTTAACACTGCTTTTGTGCTCCAGGGTCACATATAGACTATAAAAAAACAATAATTAATAAAAATGACAAAAATGCACAACAAAATTACTACAATTTAAATGAAAACAGAAAAAATAAAAACCTAATTCAAAATATTAATAAAAACCGTAATAGTAAATCAATTAGTGGTCAACCGATAAATCGGCCGCTATTTGGCATTTTTGTTTGACCAATATGATGGAAGCAGGACTTTTATTTTGACGGCGCTGAGATCTTACAAACTTACCGAGTGCACTATTAGTTATAGTGTTTACTTCTTTTTATTCGCATTTTTAACAAAGTCTATAAAATACTATACCATATTTTTAAAGTAAATTTTCATAGTATACAATTTAGTAAATATTACGTAAAATAAATCTAAATAGAATTTCTAGCAACTGCTCTGCATGTGTTTCTCCTGTCTGTTTATATGGGCTCTGTTAGATATGGCTGGTGTGAATGCTCTATGACAGCGCTGGCGTGTGAGTGCGGCTGACCTTGGCTTTGCCGGTGCTCTGCAGGATATGCACCAGCGCACAGGCCACCTCCTCCTTGCTCTTGGCGCTCAGCAGCGGCTCCAGGACGCCACACAGAGTCCGGTAGTTGTTGGTCACGTACTCGGCGAACTCTTTGTACAGCTCCATGGGAAGGATGCTCATGGTCTGGTAGCGGCACTTGAGGCGCAGCGAGGCGTTGATGCTCTTCCCGCTGCCCACGCCGCCGCCTTTAGCCAGAACGCTGGGCTGGATGACCGGATACCACTGCTCCACGAAATGACGGCCCGTTATACTGGGGATCGGGATAGTGACCAGCCCCAGATACGTGCTCTTCTCCTGCGTCACACACACACACATCTGAACGTACAGACTCCAGAAGGTCACAACTGAGGTCCAACTTTAACCTCGAATTAGCAGCCATCAAACTGTATTTTGCATTTTTTTTTTTTAAAGACACACTGCATATTTTGGAGGCTTATTTAGCCATCTTTTTTTTGCATATTAATTTTTCTAGCCGTATTCATGGCAAATTCTCTAAAACAGCATCTGTTACCAGTGGCGGCTGGTCAATAGGGGGCGCTGCCCCCCTCAAGTTAGCCAGAAGCCTACTTCAAAATGTTAAAAATAAGTTAAATATATATTGCAAAATAATCACGAAATTGCATTATTTAGTCATACTATTTGACTGGTAATCATGTTAGCACGGTATCTATTAAAAATAAAAAAATCTAAACTCTGTGTGTGTGCGGGGCGCCGGACAAATGGGTGTCTATTAAGTCTTAAGTAAAAGTAAACTTTTGAAATAGGGATGGGCATTCCAAGCAAAAATAATATTTGAAAATCGCTGGGTATTATTCGAAAATCGCACCCCTCCCCCGCATACACGCACAAACACCCATAAACTGAGAGAGACGGGATTCACGCTTTCAATCTGTATGATAAACTGTTAAATTCAGAACATAGGCTACCTTAACTCAAGCCATATAATGACTGTAACGTGCTGAAACATATTAATATAATAAATCACAACCGAAATCATATCTGCACACTAATAAACATCTGTACATTTATCTAAACAATTCATTTTTTCCTATACTTCTATTTCTGTATATAGTACATTATTACATTTTTCTAATTTTTCTTTTTTTATTATATTAGTGTTATACTACATCCCTACTGGGTTATTCCTATGTATGTCTGCACTATGTTTGTACTTTCTTCTACACTGGAAGCTCCTGTCGTCAAGTCAAATTCCTTGTGTGTGTAAACATACTTGGTAATAAAGCTCTTCTGATTCTGAAAGACGGCACTTATTAACATAACAGTCCGTCGATTAGCATAAATCAACTGCTCATAAAGCTAGTACATTTCCATTTAAAAACATGGAACCCCTAAAGGGAATAGATACGAGACGGGAGGAAAAATATACTTTAATATCTTGTCGCAATTATATCGTTGGGTAATTATACTGTATATAAACTGCGGGCATCAGGGAGCCGTTATTAATATGCGGGCCATTGAAATCGCTTTTGAACGTGCGCTTGCTTTTTGCTTTCGAGATTCGCGATCACATACGGAGCAGCACTCGCCAGTACTTACCACACATTTCACAAGATTAGGTGTTTGTCAGTGGTGCTCAGGATATGCAAATCATTCGCCATCATCCTATCAGTCATCTCTCCTTACTCTGTTTATGTGGGAAGTGAAATGTTATGTACTGTAATGTAACAGGCTACCGCTAGCAAGCGGCTAACCATGTCCCCCCACCTCTATCCCAGTCAGGGGTGGTTGTGGTCCACACAGAGCTCTTATTTGACACCGTCCCAAGTTACTGTAACCGTTATATGCTGCGCAAGTCTTTTTTATGGCACGCAAGTCTACAGTGTGCGCGAGACAATGTGTTCTTCTGTTGTCTTTGACCGTTTTTACATGAACGCGTCACCACTGCATCAGCACGGAAAACATGTGGAAATTTGTAAAGACAATAATCGCACAACCTATTCTACATTCTATAATTAAATCAACTAATCGAATATTTGAAAATCGTGACCCATCCCTATTTTGAAACGCATGTGACTTGAGGCTGAGCTCTAATTGGCTTGTTTCAGATTGTCCTAGCACTGCACCCCAGACCCTCCCACATCTGATTTTAGCGAATCAGTATTGTTTTTATATATTTTGGCCTCACGTGATTGGATCTCTCTTCTGAGAGGAAAGTAAATTTGATTTTATCTTTACAAAAAATCCTATTAATAAGCTGGATGCGATGCAAGTCATGCCTTTTATTGTTTTCCCTGTTTGTTAAAGTCCTGTTACTGAAGCATTGTGGACAGCGACACAGAAGGAAACTGAAACACTGCAGTTTAACTTGAGGCGATCATCGGGGTCCAAGCACAATGGCTTGTGTGGATGATATAGTTATCCAATGGACATCTCTTTTCAAGTAAAATATGAGTCTTTATGGAAGTATTGGTATATGCACAATATCAAAATAAATAAATTGGACATACATTCAGTCATGTCTGACAACTTGACAAATATGTTGTCAATACCATTAAAATTAAGATAAAAAATAATGGTCTATAAGTATTTAGGGGTTACAGTTTTTGCATACTTATTATATTGGGCTTTATTAAACTTTATGAAAAAAAAAGAATTTATATGCAATTTTTTACTACAAGTCAATTTAATTAACCATTTTCTCAGTCTTTAAACTGAGATCTTGAAGGATTTGATATCCTGTGGCTCCCTCGTGTGTACAACATTAGTATTATGGCTTTCATCTCTGAATCACATTAACATAAATGGCTGATATTTTTTGAATGATTACACGTTTAATGATTACTTTACTAACAATACACCCACATTAAACTCACTGATTCGTGGGATCTTATTTCATGCTTTAACTGTTGAATTTTCAACTTCCATTTTTTAGCTAAGCAGTAATGATACATTATTATGTCACTTTTTAAATGGTTAACAATTGCATTCAGTCCCGCTGCCTGCATTAACAGTGTGATTCAGTTTGTTTGCCCCCCACCCCCCAATTTTTTTTAGCACCAGCCGCCACTGTCTGTTACAAAAACTTAAATATGAAATGTTTTGTGGTTTCATGCAGTGTTGCTTTATTATCAGAGATACCATTATAGTTTTTGTTATTATTCTGAATTAGATTTTATTTTTATATTTTCTGCTTTCATTTTAATTTTAGTTAAAGTAATTTTGTTGTTTTAGTTTTGTCTGTAGTTTTTTTTTATTAATTTTGTTTATTTCAGTTTATTTTAGTTGTTTTAGAACATCAAGTTAAACTAAATGAAAATGAGAACTATCTGAAATAAATTTCAGATTTAATTAACAAATAAAAGTACAATTATTTAAAAAAAAAAAACAAATCTTAAAATGTCACCCTTTTTACATTCAAAAACGATTAATTAGTTAAAGTTATGCATTTATTTGATTACCACCGTTTTTGTACAGAATAAAAAAATAAATAAAAAATTAATAGTTGCCTATTATTGTTCAAATTGTAATAAATTATTAAATTGGTAAAGTTTTTGAACTCAATTGATTAGATATGCTTTTTGATATTAAAAGTTAATTAAAGCATTAAAATGGAATTAAAAAGAAAAATTAAAAAGGAAAACATGGAAATCAGGAAAAAAATTAAACTGATGTCATAGGCTCTATTACTGTTAAAATTGTAATAAATTATAACATTTTATGAATTCAGATGATTAGTGAAATTTAATTAAAGCATTAAAATGGAATTCAGGAAAATGTTAAACTTCACTTGTATTTGTTGCTTGGTCATTAAACTGAGGCAAAGGACACGTTGTTAGGTACGACGTGAAGCAGATTTATAGCTGTTATAAATTCACTGTAAACCACGGCTTCACGGGGCTTATTGCTTTTATAAAACGGTTATTCCATATACGTAGTAAGGTTTCACAAAATAAAACAGAGCAAATAAAGTGTAATGATATTAATAAAAACAGTATTCTTCCACCAAACAATGTAGCTCCTCAGAATCAGTTGTGGTTGCAACAAAGTGGTTGCCGAGCAACACACAAATGTAAACAAAGGTGTATGTTACTTTGTAGAGTCATTTACAACAGCTTCGAACGCGGCTCAGCCAATCAGAATCAAGGACCGGAACTATCCGTTTCATAATGAATGGGTTTGCACGGTAGAACTGAATCTAGTTGTTGAGGAGTTTGTAGTGTAAAGCGCTTTATCAGTACTCATGTATGAGCAGACCTTGCGTCTCTTCTTGTCTGTCTCCTTGTACAGGTGCAGTCTGAGGCTGCGGATGGCTGGCAAGTTGTTGAACTCGAAGTGTTCGCCCCAGAACACGGTGTCTGTGCGCGGTTTGCTGGTGGTTCGCGCGTACAGCATGTCATCCAGACACAGCTCGCAGTAATAGCGCTTCTTCGGAGGAAGATCACGGGCCTCGATGATCCACAGCTTCAGCACGTTTTCAACACGACGGCTGTTATCCTGCAGCCACACAGGGGAAATCAAAAAATCATTACCGCATTTAATAACAACGCTTTAAAAAGGTTTTCTGTGCAAATTAAAGCTAATTCAAAATATTAATATAAACTATAAAAGTATATAAATAATGTTAAAATGTGGTGTAGAGCCACAAAAAAAAAAAAGTTTTGAATGTCCTGGTTTGTCTTATAAATGTCCTGAGACTTCATTAAAAGACTCCATGTCATTCAGTATTAGTGCTGTTGATGACTGTAGTTTTGAGCTCATCTATATGAATGTGAGCTACTGTAAGAAGACAAATGATCTTTCATCACATTTACTATCTACAGCCCATATCACTGTGCACACACGGGCGTATATTAACATCTGTCCCATTAAACGCTCGGTGACTGATGCAGTGATGTAAAGTGTGACGGTACCTTGTTGGGTTTGATGGCTCGCTGCAGGTTCTCGATCCATTTGTCCCTCTCAGCAGCGGAGCGGCACGCAAAACACTTGGTGCCTGATGCAGTGGTCACCTGAAGCACAGAAGACGAGCGGAGCTTCAGAGACATCCTCACAGAAAACCCTCTTTCATTAAGCACCAATCAGACGTGGTGCACTTTTTTTTAGAATTTTGTATAATTTGAGCTGAGAATTTTACTGGTTTGAGTTTTTTTTGTAAGCATTCATAAAGTATACAGTCTGTGTTTTATTGTCATGTGTTGTGAAAAAACAAAGCCAATAAAAATTTTCAATTTGTTATTTTAGCACTGTTATTCTCCTGTGAAGCTGCTCTATTTAAATTGTGTAAAGCGCAAAAGAAATACATGTGACTCGACTTGAATGATAGAAACTGGAATCATGTGATTCCAGAAGTTTTTGCATTTTCTTCATTAAAAACAATAGTTATTTACGAGCGAAAAATTGATTGACATCTGTTTATTTGCATTACAAGTTTACAGTGATGTAATTATTAATAATTACTTATTAAAAATAAGCATTTAATTAATTATGCTTTTTAAATACTATGTTTTTAAATAATTTGGTAACATTATTTAACATGAGTTATTATTGCATTAGTTAACAATGACCACTATATTTTTTACAGAATTTATTAACCCTTGTTAATGTTAGTTAATAAAAACTTCATGTTAGTTCACAGTGCATTAAATAATATTAACAAAAACAACTTTTAATCTTAAAAAAGTCTTAGTAAATGCAGAAATTAACATTAAGATGACTATAAAATAAGTATTATGTGAAAAAAATTTGAAATGTTGCCTGAAATAAATTTAAATTGAAGCAAAAAAAAAAGTAAAAACTATAAATAAATACAAACTAAAACTGAAATAAACAATTAACTCTCAATAATAGTTTTACTTAAAAAACAAAAGCATGAACAAAAACTACAAAAAAATTAAAATAAAAATCTATTTGAATTATTAATAAAATCTATAATAGTATATAAACAACACTAAAATTTTGTATTGAAAAAAAAAGAAAAAACAAAATAAAATTAGAAACACTGTCTTGGCAAATAAATGAAATAAGTTTAAATTAAAGCAATCAAATTTCATTAGTAAATGTAAACAAAAATAATACAATTAAGAATAACTGAGATTACTAAATGTTTTAGGATTATTTTAAAGTTTTACTTCATGTGTAATAATGTAGCTCAACTAACATTAACAAATGCAACCTTACTGTAAAGTGTTACCCAATATCTCCTCTTGTAAGGAGCTAACACTGAATTAGTTAGTCGTGTTGTCTTATTCTCTAATAGTCTGGAGAGTGGTGAGGGCTTGGCCAAGACTTGTAGATCTCAGGTGTATTCAGAGAGCATCACACAGACAGACCTCGAAGCAGTACTCCTGGCCGAGGATGCTGGAGTGGACGGGTTTGATGATGGCATCCTCGTCCAGCGTGAGGTCCAGAGCCTCGGCCGCGCTGCTGGGAGACAGCAGGGACTCGTGAGAGTGAGACTCCTTGAAGCTCTGCATGAGACGCGTCCTGCACACACACAGATGGACAGACGGCACGCTCTACATGTGCTGTACATCTCTGTGACTCACTGAAGCACAATGGGAGAGTGAGTCACTGCAGCAGTGTGTGTGTGTGAGTGAGTGTGTGAGAGAATGTGTTTGTGTGTGAGAGTGTGTGTGTGTTAGTGTGTGCGAGTGAGTGAGTGTGTGTGTGAGTGTGTGTGAGTGAGTGTGTGTGAGCTTCCTGTGCGGTCGAGTTTGGGTTGGCTCTTTGCTCGTTTAATTGATCCTTTCAGACGGCGACTTAGAAAACTCTGCGAACACAAACACACACAGAGTCATTGTTAGCGCAGGAAGCTCCTGCTGCAGGTGTGTGATGGTAGAGTTCCCCAGCAGAGGGCGCAGTGAGTCAGTGATGCTGTTCCTGGACCGTGAGTCACTGCAGCTGCTGCCCATGCAACGCTAGCTGTACTGTGTATGTGTGTGTGACTCAGTGATCACTTCACTTATAGCACAAGCTCAAACTGATATGAAAGGGGTCATGAACTGAGAAATCAAAATTCCCTTGATCTTTTGACATATAAGAGGTCAATGTAGTATAAAAACAGTAAGTTTCAGAACTCAAAACTTTCTCGTTAGTCTAAACAGCTTATATTGAAGCCAATCTGCCAAAACGACAGCTTGTGGAATGTGACACTTTATGATATAATAGTGTGGCTAAACTCCGCCTCCACAGAAGAAGAGCAACACCTGCTTCTACATCGCCGCCAGTTTAGCCCCGCCCACCGATTCTACAGCACTGCCTGTTTAGCCCCACCCACCGAATCTACAGCAATGCCCGTTTAGCCCCACCCACCGAATCTACAGCACTGCCCGTTTAGCCCCGCCCACCGATTCTACAGCACTGCCCGTTTATCCCCGCCCACAGATTCTACAGCACTGCCCGTTTATCCCCGCCCACAGATTCTACAGCACTGCCCGTTTATCCCCGCCCACAGATTCTACAGCACTGCCCGTTTATCCCCGCCCACAGATTCTACAGCACTGCCCGTTTATCCCCGCCCACAGATTCTACAGCACTGACCGTTTAGCCCCGCCCACCGATTCTACCGCACCGCTCGTTTAGCCCCACCCAACGATTCTATATCACCGCCTGTTTAGCCCCGCCCACATATTCTACAGAACTGCCCGTTTAGCCCCGCCCACAATTTTTATAGCACTGCCCGTTAAGCCCCACCCACAGATTCTACATCACTGCCCGTTTAGCCCCACCTACAATTTTTATAGTACTGCCTGTTAAGCTCCGCCCACAGATTCTACATCACCGCCTGTTTAGCCCCGCCCACAGATTCGCGCATGTATTGTAAATAACAAAGGAGGCAAACACAGGTCTACGCAGCAATTAAACGATAAACATGCTCTAAAACGTCAAGACGCTGTTCAGTGTCTTTGCATCGCCTTCCTTCTGATCCCACATTTAGGAAAGAGTGGATAAACTTTATTTTTAATGACGATCCGGACCGCGTCAGTAAGAACTTGGGCCTTTGTTCACTTCATTTCACTGCGGATTCATTTACAAACAAGGCACAACTCAACGCAGGATTTTCAGCTTTTGTCTTCTCCAGATGTTAACTGATGGACTGGAGTGCTGTGGATTACTTGTGGATTATTGTGATGTTTTTATCAGCTGTTTGGACTCTCATTCTGACGGCACCCATTCACTGCAGAGCATCCATTGCTGAGACACTGATGCAGTGCTACATTTCTACAAACCTGATGAAGAAACAAACCCATCCACATCTTGGATGAACTGAGGGTGAGTACATTTTCAGATTATTTTGATCAAAGTTTCTTCTTAAATAATAATACAGATGAATCATTCACATTAGACTGAGGTCATCATAGTTGGGTAAAGGTCTAATAGAGGTGAACGGAAACTACAACAAATATAATTTTTGTGCTCTTAATTTGCTCCAGTAGCAAAAGAACAAAATCCAAATTAGCATTTCTATGCCTTAATATGCAACAAGAAAATAAACAGGGTCAGATTTGATTTCATGCCAACTTTAAAAGGAATAATCCACCAAAACGGCTCATTCACTCTGATCGCTGCTGGAAAAGAGCAGCAGGAACATTCTGACAAACATCTGCTTTAGTGCTCCACTGAGGAAAGACAGTCATGCAGGTCTTAACATCAGTAAATGATGACAGAATGATGATTTTTGAGTGACCGGTCTGGTTTGAACACCTCAACGCTGATGTTTACTCCTGGAAGGTCCTGCTTATGAGTTTCTGGTTGGAACAAAATGCACAGTTTTATATTCCTTTCTCTCCCGTCATGTTTTCTGGTAGGATTAACCACTATTCTTCATCAACCCAACTGTACAATTAACAAACCCAATTGGCATGAACAGCAATTAGCTTCAGCCATGACTCTTTAATTGATGTTGGAGCTCAAATAAAAGTTTCCCGCTGGTAATCTGACACTGATGTGGCGTTCAGATGTTCCCCTCTCATCAACACAATCGCGCTCACGTACCACAGTATCTGATTTCAGCGTGGTGAAAAGAATGACGGGAGATTTTTAAAAATGGAAATGTCCTAATTTCCACTTCTGAAGTCGTAATTACGAGTTTGCTGCGCTCAAGTGCTTTGTCGTCGGAAAGAATAGGAATCACAAAGGACACCTGGTTCATTCTTGCCTATTTTTTTGGTAGAAATCTTATGAAAGTCAAAATGTATAGAAGATATTTAAAGGGATAGTTCACCAAAAAATGAAAATTAGCTCATGATAGGCTTGCCGCGATAGACGGTGCTACCGGTGTTAAGCCGCAACACCGGTTACGTCACTTGCCCACCGCGTCACCGACCCCCACCGTCGTTTTGATTTTTTATAGTAATAAAAATCATTTAGTTCAGTAAAAGAACAGACACTACAATTAAAAACTGAACGCTGCTGCTCAATGCAGTTGAACGACAGTCGCATCACAGATCAGATTTAATTTCTCCAGTGAGGAGAGTGAGTCGAGCTGACTGACAAGAAGAGTGAGGTGAGGTGAGACAGACAAGAAGAGTGAGGTGAGACAGACAAGAAGAGTGAGGTGAGACAGACAAGAAGAGTGAGGTGAGACAG